TCTCTCAACAGTGGGCTTCTGTACAATCAAAACTCTTACTTCAGGAGGGAAGAGCCAGGGCACAGTAACAATCAAGTCAAAGCAAGACCCAAACTCTGTAAGTAACTCAGTATCCAGTTGACGGGTGGCACTCGCCTGTAATCCCAGCACTTGGGAGCAGAGGTAGGCAGATCTCTTTCAAGGCCAGCCTGTTCTGCAGATGAGTTCCAAGATAGTTAGGGCTACACAGAGAACTCTGTCTCCCCACCCCAACCCCTCAAAAAATCCCAATCAAACCAAAAAACCCCTTAATAGCCAGTGTTTCGATCCTCCAAGATCTGGGCTCCTCCAGGGAGTGTGGTTGCTTCTGGTCCTGCCCTGGGGCTCTGCACACACACTGTCTTAGGCAGCCTCACTGCACCCCTGCTGCTGTCCTTGCTGGCCTCCTGTGTTACCTGTCCTCTACTGCAGATGGGCTGTGCTTTCACCCAGAGTCTGTCCTGGCTCTCTAGGGGGACTCTAGCCCCGTTACAGAGTGCCAGGCCTGGACGTGCTCTGTGACCCCTTCATGCCTTCAAACCAGCCCGCCTGGGAATTTTTCCTAGTCAGAAGCTTGTGAGGGCTGACGGCATTGGCCATTTTTGAGACAGCTTCTGTGTGCTGCCCCTGCGGAAACGCTTCACAGCAGAGTTCACCTCAGTGATGCCGCTCTCTCTTTTTTTTTTTTTTTTTTTTTTCTCTTTTGAAACAGGGTTTCTTTGTGTAGCCTTGGCAGTTCTGGACTCACTTTGTAGAGGAGGCTGGCCTTGAACTCATGGAGATCTATCTGCCTGCCTCTGCCTTCTGAGTGCCGGAATCACAGGTGTGTGCCACCGTGCCTGGCTTCTTAATAGCTTTTCTTGCTCAAAGTTCCAGAGTCCTTGCATACCTCTCAGAACAGCAGGTCTCTGCGCCACTCCACTATCTTGGTACCAGTTTCTGTATCGACTAGGCTTTCTATTGCTGTGGTGAAACCATGACCAAAAGCAGCTTACACAGGAAGGGGTTGGCTTATACTTCCCAGCTGCTGCTCAGTGAAGGTGGGACCAGCACCAGTCACACCCCTGCCTGCATTTAAGCCGCCTACCATGATCTCACCTGACCCACACCCTACAGCCCCATATTTTCACCACCATCAGTGCCCACAGGAGAACTGCCCTTCCACGTCTCCCGTGCAGACAGCTTCCTGTCCCTCGCACTCTGCTCAGTGCTGTCCGCTCTGTGTGCCACCCCTCCCCTGCCCCACAAGAACAAACCTGGGTGTTGCCTTGTCTGGGCATTTCTCCACCAACCTGTCCCTCTCTGGGTAACGAGAGTCCCATGCTGGGTGACTCCCTTTTCTCCACTCACCTCCCAGGCTTGTGGGCCAGCATCAACTGGACCTCCTTGCTCTCAAGTGTTACCAGACCACATTAGAAGTGGCTCCATGGCTTTGCAGAACTCTGCCTGGGTTTTCTCAGTGAGGGGAGCCAAGATAAGCCAAGACCTGAAGACCCACCTCCCTCTTGGCTGCAATCTGGATATAGTGTGTGCATCTTGGCCTGCGAGGTCCCTGCCCTGGCCCCTTCTACCTCGCTAGGACATGTGGCAACCGGGGCTGGCTGCACTGTCCTGACAGTGAGAAGCGTGGTGGGCCCTGACAGCAGGGGCCTCTTGTTCATCTGGCTGCTCACTTATCCTCCCTGAGTGTCCTGTGCTTAGTGCCATGCTGCTTGGGTGGGCGGCTGTGTGTAGCCCCAGTTCTTGCAGTGCTGCTGTGATCACCTACCTGTACAGGCCTCTGAGAGCACAGCATGCAGATGGGTGGTGCTGAGCAGTGTGTTAGTGGACGGCAGGTGCCAGCCACCACAGCCACAGCACCTTGCTTTAGATGACAAGAGCATGTCACTTCTTGGTTTGGTTTGGTTTGGTTTGGTTTGAGGCAACGTATCATGTAACCAGGTTCTAAGCTTGCAGAGTCTTTGACCACCTCCCTTTGCCTCCCAAGTACTGGGTTTACAGGTGTGTCGCAGCATGCCTGACTCCAGATTGCTTCTTTCCCAAGCTTCCAGGAACAGCCATAGCCTGCCTGAGCTGCCAGGACCCAGGGCTGTGGGCCATGTAGAGCCCCTAGCCCTGTAATTCTCAAGCTTGTAATTCATAACTAGTAACCACCGTACACTCACCAGATTCGGGGAGAGCTGGTGCTGGAGCTGCCGAGACCCTCAGCTGCCCAAGTCCCAGGGGGCTGTGTTCTTTCTGACGGGAACCAGCGCAGGGCAAGGCTTCTACAGGCTCCAGCTTGTATTCCTTTCGAGACCTGGCTGAGAGGGTGGGCTGCATTCCAGAAAGTTCTTGGATGCGCCGGGTGGTTGTGTGTGTGTGTGGATAGGGCGTTAAATCCAGTTTGTGCGCTGGACCACTGATTGCTCAGAACCCTGTGGTGGCTGCAGTAGGAAGGCGTGCTTTAGAACACAGGACACCTTTGCAGAAACTCAACCCCCTGTGCCATTCAAGGTCTTTGAGTCTGTGCTGTGTGAAGAGATTAGATGTGAGGCACTGCTGGCTAGTGGCTGGCACCAACAGGGTCACCTGTTTCCTGCATACTAGCTCCCCCAGTGGGCTTCCAGCTGTCAGGCTCATGGGTCAAGGCCATGGGGACAGCTGTGGTCCTCTGTTTGTTGTGGGACTGAGCAGCCCCTCCTGGTCTTTTGTTAATCTGCTTTCATTCTCTGAGGTCACTGTGACCTTGTGACGGGTATGGTCACCGTTGGCTTTTGAGGCAAGGTCTTGCTCTGCAACCCAGGCTGACCTGGTCTCATCAGCCTTCTGCCCCAGCCTCCTGCCTGCTGGTGCACCACCATGCACAGCTTGTTCTGTTGTTCTGTTGCTCTGCCCATCCATGGCTTGTTGTTGAGATGAAGGGCCTAGCCTCTGTGCCCAGGAGCCCAGGAGCCCAGGTCTGTGATAGCAGCCAGGTCACATGGGGACAACCACCTGAGATCAGCCATAAGGTCAACCCTCAGAGCTGACCTGCTGGGCTGCCATCCAGACTCCATGTACATGATGAAGGATGGTGTCCTTTCCTGCCTTTTCCCTGGCACTCAGAAGTCTTGCTCCATGGTGAATCCTGTGTTCTGCGTCTGTGCTAGCCTCTGGAGAGCTTGGCCCTGAGGTAAAGGTGGACCAGGCCTTGCACCTGTTCTTCCAACCCCTGAGCATGGTTGAGGCCTCAGGCCCATTGACATAGTGTCACTGATATTTTGGCCAGAAGGGCCACCTTGTGTCTCTCAAAGACTTCCTTTAACCTTTCTTGCCGTTTATGTTAAGATATGACCCCATGACAGAGTCTAAGCATGTATACAAGCCCTGAGGAAAGAAAGTGAAAGGATACTGAGTGGCTCAAGGATCTGTGTACAGAGGATGCTGCTTTGTGGTACCCTAATCCACAGGGACATCCACATGGGAGGCAGTGCACATTGCCACAGAGCTGACAGAAGCGCCTGGCCAGTGAGGAATTGTATGTTCTAAATTCTCTGTCAGGGTCTCAAGTAGCCCAGGCTGGCTTTAAACTTATATAGACAAAGATGCCTCATCCTCCTAAGTATGGAGATATACTAACGCAGCATGTGACCCTCAGGGCCCGAGGTCATACCCAGGGCTCCTTCTGCTTCTGGGTATCTCCACCAGTTGCTGGCCCCTCAACTCTGAAAATGTGAGCTTTGGCTGTAAGTTTTCCTGGTCTCCTGGTATGGCATACCAAGGAAGGGCTGGGGTTGGCTTAGTGACAAGTGTGCACCTGGTAATGCCCAGCATCACGCAAGACCAAACAAACCCTACCACCCCATCCAGCATGCATGCATGTGGCTCTCACCTGGGGTGGGGCTGCCACTCCTGCCTGCTCATGGGTGTGGGCTGGGGACATCTCTCTCAGGTTGTCTTTTTTGTCAACACCTGTCATTCCAAAACTCTCCTGTGTGTCTTAAGGCATTCCAGCAAACACCTGGTTTTGTTCCTAAGGACTTACTTGACCAGATTCTGCGCTTCTAATGAGACCAGTGGGTAAAGGCTGGGTTATGGTTTGGCCTTGTGTCTTTAGCACAGTGGCCCTAGTGCATGCTGCCCCTTGTATGTGGTCCCCATGGGAAACAGAGTGGATGCTGGGTGTTCCGGACCGTGACTGGCTGGCTGGCTGGCCTGTTCCTGAGGGGCTGACTCTGTGGAATGTGTCTGCTGAGATGTGACCATGACTCTGTAGAGAACAAGGGGGACTCTACCTCCATTCTTGGGGCCAAGTGTAGGTCATTTTGTAGGGCCACAGGCTGCCTCAGAGGTCCACCTGTCCTCTTGGCTGCCTGCTCCTGCCATGCCAGCTGGTGGCAGTAGTTCTGGCCCTGGCCCAGTGCAGCACACTTCTCACCCCCACGCCTAAGAGCTCCACCTGCCCTGCTTGGGAGGCATTGGCAGTACAGCTACACAGAGCCTCTGAGTCTTGGGTGAGGTGGAGGAGTCAGGAGCCTGCAGACAGCAGTGTCTCTGGGAAGTTGCCCTGGCCGGGAAGGCACAGGAGTGAACTCGGGGCTGTGTGTGGGCTGTCCTGAGCCGAAGCCCTCCATGCAGGGTTTCTTCAGAGGCTGTCACACAGACACAGTGACTAAAGCCAGCTAAAGCGAAGGGCTAGCCAGGTGCACCCACTGACAGCAGCAGCATGTGTGATATGCACCTCAGCTGGGCTCACACACTGCTGGCTCCTGCATCTGGCAGCCCTCTTGGCTGTGGCCCTGCCTTTGTGATCTGCTTCCTCCTCTTTTGGGGAGTCACAACCTGTGGCAGCGTCCTTGGCTCCTGGCTAGCCTCTCCAAGGCTCTTCTTCTGTGACTTTGGCTCTGCCAGTTGGAGGGGCTACTGACCCTTCAAAACTCTGAGGTTCTCTGAATATGCTGTTTGGCTGGAAGGGCAGAGATGTTCTGTCCATTGATGCTTTCCCCTTTTGTCTCTTGTAGGATTCTGTGTCACTGAAACCATCCATCCGATTTGAAGGAAGCCAAGGAGTAAGTGTTCCCTGTCCGATACACATGGACTATGGAAGAGTCGGGTTCCTGCCTGTTCACCTCTGAGTGGCCCCAGACTGGACCCTGATGCCCAGTGAAGGCCATGTGTGAGAGCAAGTGGTCATTTCACAGTGATCCTTGGGGTGCCTTCTTGAAGATGGATGCCATTCCAGCCCCCTGTTGGGTGGGCATGTGTGTGGTATTTCATAGTGATAGAAATGCCTCCATGTAAAACCCAACCCTCACCACCTTGTGGTTCTGGGGAGGAAGCCCAGCACTTGTGACAGGTCAGGCAAGTGCTCTGCCAGTTAGCTGCTAGCTCCAGGCCTCTGCTTTAATCACTGTTCTGCTGCTGTGGGGAGGCACCGTGACCGCGGCAGCTCTTGCAGCATTTAACTGGCTGCTGGCTTACAATTTGATCACCATAGTGAGTGCATGGTGGCAGGAAGGCAGACATGGTGCTGGAGCAGTAGTTGAGAGTCTATATCCTCATCTGTAGGCACAGAAAGAGGCTCTGGGCCTGGCTTGGGCTTTTGAAACCTCAAAGTCCACCTCCAGTGACAGACTTCCTCCAACAAGGCCACACCTCCTAATTCTTCTAATCCTTTCAAATGGTGCTACTCCCAGGCAACTAAGCATTCAAATATATGAGCCTGGGGTACCCATTCTGATTCAGACCAGCACAGCCTCTTCTAGTTGTTGTTGTTTTTGGTCTTTTTGTTATTTTGTGTCTCCCCCCACCCCCAAGCTGAGGACCGAACCCAGGGCCTTGTGCTTGCTAGGCAAGCGCTCTACCACTGCGCTAAATCCCCAACCCCCTCTTTTTACTTTATTTCCCCTAATTCTTTTGCATATTTGTTTATGCACTAAGTGCCCAGTACCCACTGAGATGGAAGATAACTGCATGCCCTGGAACTGGAGTTATAGGTAGTTGAGAGCTGCCATGTGGGTGTTTGAATTCGAATCTAAGGCCTCTGCAAGAACAAACAGTGTTCTTAACCCTGAGCCATCTCTGCAGCCCCCACCTTTTACTTATATTTTGAGATAGCATCTAGCTATATTACTGAGAATCATCCTGCCTCAGCCTCCTGAGTCTATGGTGGCCAATCTATGCCCAGTCCTATCTTTTTATCTTTTCACTTGAAGTTGCTGCCTCGTGGCTGACTTGGTAGGTACCCAGCAGCCTATGGGGTTGGGTGGCTGTGGTGGACTCCCTGTGCCTCCCAGGGTTCTGGGGCTATGTGCCCGTCTGACTGGGAAGAGGTCATCCTGACCACTGGCCCCTCATAGGAGTTGACTGTGGGGTTGCAGCCCTAGGGAAGGCTGGGGCACTAGTGTCCCCATCCCTCTCCTGTAGATGCCCAGACCCTGCAGGTGAATTCAGCTTCATCTTACTGTGACTGGCTGCCAGACAAACGGCATGCCTCAGCTGCCCACGGGGCCCACAGTTGCTAGCCTGTGGAGCCCTGTATTAGTGAGGGTTGTCTAGGGAAGCAGAACTGATAGAATGAAGAATGAATGCCGATATATGCGGGATTTATTAGCATGGCTCACAGGCTGTGGTCCAGCTAGTTCAACACCAGCTGCTGGAGGGTGGAAGCCCAACAGTCCAGTAGCCGCTCGGTCCGTGAGGTGGGAAGTCTCAGCGTCTTCCCTGTGCACCGTAGTCCTGAAGGAGTAGGCTCTAATGCCGGTGAAGGAGTGGACTTGCGAGGGAGAGGGAGAGCAAACAAGTAGTGTTCCCTTCCTCTGTGTCCTTTATCCAGGCTGCCAGGAGAGGGGGTGGCCCAGATGAAAGGTGAATTTTTTCACCCCAGAAGACCCGGATCTAGGGTGGATCTTCATACTTGAAATGATTCCACTAAGGAAAAGTTCCTCAGAGGTGTGCCTGGCCACTTGGGTTTTAGTTAATTCCAGATGTGGTCAAGTTGACAAGCAAGAAGAGCCATCACAATTGCATAGTTCTGGCCTGTGTACCAAGTGCTTATTCCACAGAAGTACCAGCCATGCTTTTTGCCGCCTCTGTGCTTTGGTCCAAGTCCACCGCACATCTGTATGTGATGGGGTCATGGAACCCAGAACAGCAAGTTCCCGACACTCGCCCTTAGCATACTCCTGCCCTACTCCTCATTCTGGGCTGGCCTCAACCTCATTTTCTGCCTCAGCCTCCTTAAGAACATGCCACCTGTTAAGGGTCTTGATGTCACACATGACTGGGGTGTATGTCTGGATGCCTCAGCATTGCCCCTGCAGTCAGTGTGGCCAGAACCAGGCTCCGGAAGACTGTGTGCTTAGCAAAGACCCAGTGTATGCCACCTGGTCATGGCCACCCAGGACCCCAGAACAACTAGATTCCCAGGACCAGTTCCTTGGCATGGACCTCATTCCCCAGACCCCTGCAGCATTTGCCTGTATGCACTGCTCCTCCTTTGTGGATCTTGAGCTCTACCATCCCTGGTCTCTGGCTGTTACCGGGCATTGAAGCCATAGCCCTTGAGTGGCAGTGACTACTACCTGGCTGACCCTGTGATAGAGAACACTTGGTGTCTATGGCTACGTACCACGGTGCAGCCAGAGCGCATAACCCATGTATGTAGCTGGCAAGGCAGGGTGGTCAGAGACAGATGCTGTCCCTATGTCTAGGATCGGAGGCTGCAGAGTGACTAGGATTGCCATTGGTCATGCCTGCTGTCCTGGCTTCTAAGCCAGTGGTTCTCAACCTTTCCAAAGCTACGACCCTTTAATACAGCTTGTTATGTTATGGTGATCTCCAATTCTAAAATTACTTCCATTGTTACTTCATAACTAATTTTTCTCCTGTTATCAATCCTAATATAAATATCTGTATTTTCTGGTGGTCTTAGACAGTCCCTGTGGAAGGGTTGTTCGACCCCCAAAGGAGTCAGGATCCACAAGTTGAGCAAGCAGGGACAGCATAGGAAGGTTGTGGAAAGGTCCAAATGTTCAGGACCTTAAGTCTTCAGTGTTATTCCTGTAATGAGGCTGGGCAGGCTGCCCAAGGGGACTGGTTCACGCTATTCAGTCCGTGGGCGGAGGGGAAGGAAGCCAAATACCCATGTATTTTCTGAGGCCTGCTGTAATTAGGCTCATTCAGAAGAGGGTGTCCCAGAAGGAGCAGGCAGGATGCTTGGGTTCTTGGATGTACCCTGTGGACCACAGAACTGCACACCACTCCTTGTTTGGTTGGCTTGGTTTTCTCGAGACAGGCTTTCTCTGTGTAGCCCTTGTTGTCCTGGACTCTCTGTAGACCAGGCTGGCCTCTAACTCACGGAGATCCTCCTGCCTCTGCCTCCTGAGTACTAGGATTAAAGGTGTGTGCCACCACCGGCTTTTAGCGTTTATTTTTTATTTTTAATTGTGTTTCTGTGTTGGGAGAAGTAGCTTTTCCTGAGTCCAGAGAGGGTGTTGGATCCTCCAGAGCTAGAGTTGCAGGCTGCTTTGAGCTGCCATGAGGATCCTCTGTAGGAGCAGCAAGTGCTTTTGCCTTTGAGCCTCGGTTCAGCTTGTTTTAAACTGAGAAAACATTGCTTTAAAAGGACTCTCACTGTTAGCTGCCACCCAACTCAGTTCCCATGTAAAGATCTCCTCACACATACCATCTTGAGCCTGGATTATAGTGAAAGCTGGAAGGGTTCTAGGTGGGGCCAGTGCTCCCGGTGGCTGAACCTCAGACCACCAGGATGTCCCCCAGGCCTGGGTCCTCAGGCACTCCAGAGTGGATTTCACACACCTCACCAGGCTCTTTTTCTGAAAATGCTGAACCTAGGCCACCCATACCCTCAGACAGCTTGGAGCCATGCTGAAGTTGGTCACTAGGGCTGGCAGCTGAGACCCCCCCCACAGCAGCAGGCTCTGGCTATGCCTTGATGTTATGATGCTACTACCCACTGGGCAACTGCAGCATTCACCATGGCAGATCCAGCTCTCCTTTGAGTCCTGGCCAAGTCCCCCACCTGCTGCCTCTACCATCCCTGGATGATAGAGCCCAGCACCCTGTGTGGCTTGTCCCCAGAGGGACAAAGCTCCCTTTCTCAGTTCTGCCACAGCCCCAGCACTGACTGCAGTGCCCTGCCTCTCCTGCTTGGCACCCTTGCAGAGCTCAGGCTGCTGGCCCTGGATCAGGGCATTTGCAAGGAGCCCAACTGTCACTGGCTGTGACAACAGCCACATGCAACTCAGGGCTTGTGCCAAGAGGGTGTCAGCCCCAGCCTAAGCCGGGAACTCATGCCGTGGAGGCTCCACACACTAGGCACACTCAGAAACCCTTTCAAGTTCCACAGCCCATGGCCGCTTCCTCTTGCCATTCAGCAGAGTGCTAAAGCTACCCGGAAGGCCAGTCAGGACCTTGGCGGATGGGATGAGTCTGGGTGGCATTGCCTTCATGGCTCCTTGCAAGCTGCTGTTTTTTTGTGTCTACTGTGCATGCACATATGAGGCTGTATGCTTGGAATTGGTGTGTGTGCACACCTGGGTGAGGTGTGAGAAGCAGGCTGGGGCCTGGGTTGTCAGATGCGGGGTGCAGGGCACTCTTTCCCTCTCTGGACTTGATAAAAGCATTTGGGGGCTGGAGCAAGGAGTCAGTGGGTAGAGACTTGTTCAGCAACATTCCTGAGGCTCTGAGATCCATCCCAGGGCCAGACAAACCAGGCATGGTACACACCTGTCGTCCCAGCACTGAGGAGGTTGAAGCGGGACGGTCTGGAGTTCAAGGTCAGCCTAGGCCATGTTGTGAATTTGAGGTTGGTCTAGGCTAGAGACCCTGTCTCAGAAACAAACACATTTGAGCTAGGAGTGGTGGTGCACACCTTTAATCACGATGCTCAGGAGGTACTGGATAGATCTCTGAGTTTGAGGTTAGCCTGTTCTACAGAGTGAGTCCCAGAACAGCCAGGACTATACAGAGAGACCCTGTCTTAAAAAAAAGAAAAAAAAAGAAACGGGCTGAAGAGATGGCTGAAAAATACTGCCTGTTTTTCAGAGGTACTGAGTTCAATTTCCAGCTCCCACATAGTGTTCTTAACCATCTATGCTGGGATCTGATGCCCTCTTCTGGCATGCAGGTATACATGCAGGTAGAGCACTCATCTACATTAAATCAGTCAATCCATACACCCATCAATCAATCAATCAGTCAGTCAGTCTTTTAAGAAACAAACCACAGGTGAATCTCGGTGAGTTCGAGGCCAGTCTGGTCTACAGAGAGGTTCCAGGACAGCCAGGAATACACACAGAGAAACCCTGTCTTGAAAAAAAAAATTTTTTTTTTTAAATTTAAAGCCAAAAAAGCCTGCTGATGGTGGCACACACCCCTTTAACCCCAGCACTTGGGAGGCAGAGGCAGAGGCAGAGGCAGGTGGATCTCTATGAGTTTGAGGCCAGCCTGGTCTCCAGAGAGACTCTAGGACACCCAGGGCTACACAGGAAAACCCCGTCTTGAAAAAAATAAGATGAAAAGAAATCTGCCATCTTTATGCAAATTCCCAGGGCTCAAAGAACCCACCTCAGGAGCTGACCATGAAAAAAGGGTGACCCCATTTGACAAAAGGGGTGAATGTGGCCTCAGATCTGAGGATAAGACCTCCAATCCCATCTTTTAGCCAGAGAGAAGGGGGAATTTGAACCCTTTGAAGGGTGGAAGGAAGGGGTCTCAAAGACTCTGTGTTCTCACAAAGACCCTTTGCTTTCTCGAGGTGCTCAAACTCCACAAACACAAATAAAAACAAACCACACACACATTTGCATTAAGATTAAGGCAATGCAGGTGATAGGGCCTTTCAGGCTTGATAGCTGAGCCGTGCAGACCGTAGGGTGAAACGCACTGAGCCTTTCTGTTGGCGTCTGCTGAGAGGGATGCATGCTGTCAGCAGCCATTGCAGTTGTGTGCATTTTCCTTTCATGGATGCTCCAGGTCAGGACAGCCTCACTGGCAAGGTGGGGAGCCTGGGTGACAGACAGCCCGGACTACTCCATAGCCCAACGGTTTGGGTGATCTCCTGCTTGTCGAAGCAGGAGACACCCTTCATGCCAGGAAGTGCCAAAGAGGAGGGGCCCCATGTGTTCCTGCTGTGCAGCTTGCACATTGTAACTAGTGCATGGTGTCTGTGAGGTGTGAGTGCTGGCTTGTGCTCCAGCCTCCCCATGCCAAGGATCACAGTGACATCCCCTCTTTCTACAGCACATCTCTATACCCCAGCCTGACTGCCCCGAGGAGTTGCGGGCTTTCTCCTTCTACCTCTCCAACATTGGCCGTGACAGCCCTCAGGGCAGTTTCGACTGTATCCAGCAATATGTATCCAGGTAAGGCTACCTGCCCTCAGGCCCCTCGGGACCCCAAAACTACCACAAGCTAGCCTGCATCCTCTCCTGCAGTGGCCCAGGCTAGCATGGTGTGGCTTGGGGTAGGGGCATCCTAATGGTAAACTTCCCCTTGTTTTGCAGCCATGGGGATGTACACCTGGACTGCCTGGGCAGCATCCAGGACAAGGTCACAGTGTGCGCCACTGATGACTCCTACCAGAAGGCACGGCAGAGCATGGCGCAGGCAGAGGAGGAGACTCGGAGCCGCAGTGCCATTGTCATTAAGGCTGGAGGCCGCTACATGGGTGGGTGGGAAGCTGCATTCTGGGCCAGAAGCTGGGGCTTGCTCTGTCACATGGCCAAGGAGGGCTCGGCCTTGGGTGCTGGAGCTATGGATAGCTCAAGGCCCCACTTAGTTATCTAGTTGTTCCCAGTCACTCCTCCAAAGGTTACTGTGGGCACACTGTAGACTGGGAGGTGAGTAAGCTGTGGTGACATGGGGACAGTGCAGCACAGGGCGAGCAAGTGTGTTCCCAGGGGAGAAATATATGTCTAAGGCTGACCATTGTGCATGGACAGTTATCCTGAGGCGGACTACTTCTCAGGAGCTTGGCATTCCTTACCTTCCTGTAATTCTTTGTGTAGGCTTGAGGCCTGTGGTCTTTCCCTGTCCACTTTAGCCTATGTAGTGAATTTGAGGCCAGCTTGGTCCACAGGAGACCCTGCCTAAAGGGTGGGGAGATGCCTCAGTGGAGGACCTAGGTTGCTCCAGGCACACAACTGTAACTCCAGGTCCTCTTCTGGCCTCCTTGGCCACTGCATACATGCACAGACATATATATAGGCAAGACATTGTACATATAAAATAAAAATAAGTAAATCTCTAAAGAAGAGTGGGAATTTCGGCCAGGTGGTAGTGGCACACACTTTAAATCCCAGCACTCGGGAGGCAGAGACAGGCGGTTCTCTGAGTTCAAGGACAAACCTGATCTACAGAGTGAATTCAAGGAAATCCAGGACTACACAGAGAAACCCTGTCTTCAAAAAAAAAAAAACCTGGGAATTTTGCATTGCTCCTGCCCCACCCCCCACGCCTGCAGTGGGCCAGCCTTGAGTGGGACTTAAGTAGTTAGAACATGGCTGGACATCATCACTCGCACTGGCCTGTGCTGTCTCCCTGGTGACAGAGGCCCTCTCAAGGCCGAGATGGGCTGTGCACACATGGGAATGACTCTTTGCTCCTGTGGATACCAGTTGGTTAGCAGCCTCATTTTGTCACACCTTGTTTGGATACCATGGTGGCTTCTAAGACAGTCACTATTTAACTGGGGGCACAGCTGTTGTCTCAGCCCCAGGGTCTGGGGCAGAAAGATGGTGAATCAAGATAGGCTGGGCTCTATGGAGAGACCCATCTCAAACCACCAAACCCTGCATGAAACCTGCAGAGCCATGGTTTTGGTTCCAGTTCAGCCCTCTGACCAGAGGCCTGGACGTACCAAACCGAATTGGGCTGTGAGGAGGGCAAGCACTGGAGGGGTCCCCCTGGCCCAAGGCCTGCAGGTTCCTGCTTGCTGCCCTGAAGGGCTGCTCAAAATGACCTTTGGAAGGCCATATTTGGCACTAGGTGAGGCCACAGCTTAGTGATAGGCCCTTGGGTCTCTGCTGCAGCAGCTGGAGCAGCCCAGACGCAGTGACTCAGGTCGCCTCTAAAGCTACAGAAGCAAGCTCAGTTGGCAGTGGGGTGCTGTCAGAGGGAGGGTTCCAAGTTCTGCATCTAAGGGTACAAAGATCCTGTGGTATTTGGTGTTCCATGTTCCTCGGCCTTGAGACTCTGTCAGCCCCCAGTGCCTTTTGCCTTTGAACTGTGGCAAGACGCCTACACACTTGACACAGAATCTCAGTCTCCCCAGCCTCTCTCCTGTTGGCTGTTGCTTGCTTTGCTGTGTTGTGGACAGCTCATGCTGTCCTATGGCATGCCCCTACACCCTGAACCAGGCTCTCATTTCAGGCAAGAAAGTTCAATTCCGGAAGCCCGCACCAGGGGCGGCCGATGCAGTGCCCTTCCGGAAGCGGGCCACCCCCATCAACCCGGCAAGCGCCATCAGAAAGAGTGGTGGGAGCGGAGCCAGTAGTGTGGTGCAGCGGCCCTTCAGAGACCGGGTGCTGCACCTCCTGGCCCTAAGGCCCTACCGGAAGGCTGAGCTGCTACTACGGCTGCAGAAGGATGGGCTGACACAGGCAGACAAGGACACCCTGGACAGCCTGCTGCAGCAGGTGGGTACAGACCAGCGTGACCGCACGTGTTGCGGCCATTTTGAAAACACCTCTCCAGGCTGCCTAGCTCCATGGCGGTCCCTGGCCCGGCCTCCTGGAGCCTTGGACGGATCTGCCTGAGCAGGGTCCCTGGCGAGGATGCCTACAGACCTGTATGGTGTTGGAGCATAAAGTTGGCAGGTGGGCACCACCTGGAGATATGCTCAGAGCTTGTGTCTGATTGGCTGTTAGCACTGCACTGTTGATGGGGCCAGTCAGATACACCTGGGCCATGTCTTCCTTCTGTCCCCACCCACAGGATTTCCTGGGGCTCTGGAAGGTGAACATTCATACTGACATCATGCCCTAGCCAAGGGTGGCAGGATTAGGGGAAAGGAGCTTGCTGTCTGACGACCTGAGTTCAGCTACAGCATTGCCTTCCTCATCCTAATAACAATTGAGAAACAACTCGGACTAGAGAGATGTCCCGTGGTTAGGAGTGCTGGCTGCTCTTGACGAGGACCCAGGTTCCATTCTCAGCACTCGTGTGTTGGCTCACAACTAACTGTCTGTAAATCTAGTTCCAGGAGATCCAAAGCCCTTTTCCGTTCCCCAGGGGCACCAGGCATACACGTGGCAGTGGTGCACACCTTTAATCCCAGTGCTTGGGAGACAGAGGCAGGGTACCTGTGAGTTCAAAGCTAGCCTGGTGTGTATAGTGAGTTCTAAGAAAGCCAGGGCTGCCCAGAGAAACCCTGTCTCAACAAACAATTATTAGCCAAGCTTTGGGGATAGCATAGAAGTGGCTTGGGTAGCCTGGCCCCTTCCTCTGGGTGACAACATAATATAGAGTCTCAGAGAAAGCTTTGGAATCAGGGGAGACCATGCTCTGTCCCTGTCTCGGGCTGAGGAGTGCACAGATGTAGCGTGCAGGCAGAGGCGTCAAAGGCTGTGTCACTCCCAGAGTCTCTGATTAGCTGTGCTGGGCCTGCCATCCTGGCACTCTGAATGTGTGATGTGTCTTGTGGGGGTAGCGTAACCCCACACATCTAGAACCCTGTCTTGGGGGACAGGTCACCAGACTGGTCTGGTCCTTTACAGCCACCCCAGGTCCCAGAGACTCTGAGCACCTACAGTGGGGAGCCAGAAGCCTGCCCTAGGGCGGAATGCTGGCAGCAGTGACATCAGTGGGAACACATGGCATCTTGGAGGAGGAGCAAGTGGGGCTATGAGTTCCTGTTAGGAGTAAGGGCATGACAGTATACCAGTAAATCTCAGTGCTGTCACAAAGTTGACTGCCAGGTTGGCAGCCTCTGACAAGAAATTGTGAGTTCAAGGCCAGCCTCAGCTGTGAGGCAAGGCTGTGTCTCTAAAACCTAGGAAATACAATTCATTCCTCTTAGTCCTTACCCAGCCTTGGCACAGTTGAGTAGTGGATGTTTGCATGGCTGCATACTGGCACCCAGCAAGGCCAGCACAGATGTGGCCTTGGCCCCTTCAAAGCCTCTGATCAGATTCTTTGAGCTTCAGCTGACAGCCTGAGATAAAGCAGCTATGTATGTGTCTGTGTGTGGAGTGTAGAGAACCGGCTGGTGGCCACTATCCAAAGGGTGGAGGCTGTGAAGGGCTGTGAGCACATGAGTGGCTCAGCCACAACACAGTTTGGGCCTTCAGCGGCTCAGGCACAGGGAACCTGAGGTGGGAGAGCATGGGTCCGGGCGCTGCCACTGCCCTGTGGAGCCCATGGCTCCCCGAGCGCACACACCCTGCTGGCCCCACAGTGACGGTCAAGGAGAACTGGATATCTTGCAGGTGGCGAGTGTGAACCCCAAGGACGGCACGTGCACACTGCAGGACTGCATGTACAAAGATGTGCAGAAGGACTGGCCCGGCTACTCTGAGGGTGACCAACAGCTGCTGAAGCGTGTGCTCGTGCGGTAAGGCCCTGAGTGGGCATGTGGGACAGCAGGCTGCCACATGGTCACAATCATGGCTGTTCCAGCCGACTGTGCAGCCTCCTCTGGGCCAGGGTGTCCCATCCAGGTCCCCATAGCTTCTGAGGAGCCTCTGGGGCCCTCAGAGTGTGTGAGGCAGACGCCAAGAGAGCAGTACAGTAATTAGCCACTTCCCTAGGGTGCTGGCCGGGAGCAGTGGCTAATTGGTTCTTGAGTGATTTTTTTGCTGAAAGACTGTTACTGATTTCCTCCTGCTCAGGGACACCAGCTCACTCTGTGCTGGTCTCCTAACTGGAGTCCAAGTGCCCAGAGAGGCTGGGAGGGACATCGATGGCCCAGGCTCGCCACCTGTCACACCCTTTTGGACAACAGACCCAGCATTCTTGCTTCCTTTTCTTTCTTTTTCTTTTCCTCTTTCTTTTTTCCTTCCTTCCTTCCTTCCTTCCTTCCTTCCTTCCTTCCTTCCTTCCTTCCTTC